GTTAAGATTAGCAGAGACTTATTAGTGTGTTCTGTGATGAGTAGTGCCCACTGTAACCAGGTAAGTTTTATTAGTGCTCCATAACAAGCACCAAAGGTTGACTAATCCTCTAGACACTAGCAACATAAGGGCAGGAAAAAAAATAAAATAAAAAAATAAAAAAAAATAAAAAAACCTACCGCACCTCCTCATGCCATTTTGGGATAAAATCTCACTTGCCCTGCCTATAAAGCAAACAAATCCAGATGCACATTGGACACTGATAAGTACATTTAATATATAGGCCAAAAAGAAACAATCAGTCTCCATAAGATACAGAAATACTCCATAAAAATGCTGCCCTGCTTCACGGGATTAAGTTTCCAGAAGTGTTTCAAGGAGGGATCTGAGCACAGAAGCAGCCACTCAGTGCACAGGGAAAGTTCCCAGTGTAGGAGGTGGTATGGCAGGAAGTAGACACAGCAGCACAAATTCATTTGATCCTTAGCACCGAAATATTTTCAAAATCTAAGTATTTTAGAGATGAATAATTCTTACAAAAGAAGACATTTTGGCCTATGAGATAAGCCCTCTGCACAAGGCAAGAAGCAGACGTTCCCATTCCCAGCACCCACCAGATGATGGGCCCCAACGCCCCCTCAGCAAGATGGCACAAGACACCAAACGGGCACAGAGGGCGATGGGCCGCAGCACCGAGCTGCCGTTCAGAGGGGCCGGGCGGAGAGGAGCCTCATGAGGTTCAGAAAAGGAAGCGCAGGGCCCTGCAGCCCAGGACCAACAGCCCCGGGCGCCCGCGCAGGCTGGGGCTGTCCTGCTGGAGGGCAGCTCTGCAGAGAAGCACCTGGGGCCCTGGGGACAGGAGGCTGTGGGCCAGCAACGTGCCCTTGTGGCCAAGGCCCATGGGATCCTGGGGTGCTCTAGGCCGAGTATGGCAGCAGCTCAAGGGAAGGGACCCTTTGCCTCTACTTGGCCCCGCTGGGGCCACCCCAGTATGAGAGAGATACAGAGTGAGTGGAGGGCTACCAAGATGATGAAGGGACTGCAGCACGTCTCGTACGGGAAAAGGGTGAGGGAGCTGGATAT